ATTAAAAATTAAAAATATTTTTATCAATAATTTTAAAAGTTTTAATATAATAAATTCTAAATTTTTTTTCTTTAACTTTTTATAATATTTTTTTGACTTTTTTTATTTTATTTTATTTTATTAAAAAAACCTTGTTTATTATAAATTTAAATATGTACAATTCTTATTTTACTCTTTTAAAACAATAACAATATCTAAAAATTCAATTAATAAGATTAAATAAATATAATACTTGATTAATTATGAAAAAAAAATTATAAGTAATTTATAAATAACTTATATTTATTTGTAAACAACAATTAAATTAATAATAAAAATTATAAAATTTTTAGTAGTTAGGTTTTAGTTATATTATTTAAATTTATAAAGCTATAAAAATAGATTTTGTTTATTATAATTTTAATAATTAAATTTTAATATTATTGCTTAAACTATAGCATATAGCAATTATTTAAGAACTAAATAAGATATAAAAAATAAAAAATTTATACTGTATATAAATATAACTTTATTATTTAAAGAAGTATTTTTAATTAATTGAATTATTAAGTTTTTATTATATAATATTGTTATTATTGTTATTACAAATAAATTTAAATTAACTTAATTATTAGTAAAATAAGTTATTGAGGTTTTTATTAATTATTATAATTATATTTATTGTTAAAGAGATAAAACCGATTTTAATTTTTGTATTAATTAAAATAACACAATATTGTATATTAATAAAAAAATAATTGCAAAGATTTGTTTAAATCAAATATAAATTTAAAAACTTATTTAAATATAACTTTAAATATAAATTTTAATATTGAGAATTGAAATAAAAATAATATTAATAGTTTTTAAAAAAATAAAAATATATATAAACAAAATTATAAATAAAAATCACAATAAAATTTTTTTATACAATTAAAAAATAAACAAAACTTTGAAACTTATTTGATATTAATTAAAGATTTTATTTAAGACAAAATAATTTTTAAAGTTTTTTATTTATTATTATTTTTTTTTTTAAGGTGAATGTATATCAATGTGAATCTTTATTGATATATAATATCTAAATATAATATCAAGTATCTTCTACATATGGAAACATATTCAATTGAAATGATTTTACATACTATGTTTTTTATATATAGAATTAATACTGCCTATTGACTATTTCTAGTAATATTTATCTTTATTAATCCAGTAATGTCAATTTACATCTCAGGATGAATTCACACTCTGGATGAAACAAATTCAAAGGGTGAAAAGTCTTATCACCAGTTTAAACCCACCTTTCTGCTAGGTTCAGATTCAATAACCTTGTGGCTACTTACGATTGGAGAACTATAGAATATTATTATAGAGACCGATTTCAGTTATTCTAGTTACCTATTATCACTAGTCCTCAGAATGCACCACTAGTATAGCATAGTACAACCGTTCTCACCACTTGTGGCCATGATATCCTTGTTTGGATTCCTGATTATTCTTGTTTTGGTCCTCAATAGGTTCACTTTGCTTGATGATTTTTTTTATCTTCTTATCACCTGTGACTGATAGTCTTGCCTTGTGTGATCCATATTTTTAAGCTCAGAGAGTATCAGTATGGGATAGACCTTAAAGTATCAGATTAGGATAAACTAGCTTAGGATTTGTCTTTTTTTGTTCACACTATATTATAAGTTTGCTGTACCAGGAGAGATAATATTTGATAGGCTTTTATTGAAGTTAGATCAAAAGCCTTTCCTTATGCAACCTTTTCTGCTTTGATCTGTTTTCAGCTCGCGATCTTCAAAAAGACCAAAGGTCCTATCTTTATGTAGCCTAATTGAATATGGTCATAATCTGGATGTTTGGGTATGACATTTGTGGCAATCCAGTAAATCTACAAATAAAGGATAAATTTATATATTTGTCTCCTATAGGTATTGATTTTAAAGTTCTTTATTCTTGAGTTATAACCTATATAATATATAAAAAAAAAGTAGAATTAATTTTTTAAAAAAATTATTATAAATAAATATTTTTTTATTTAAAAAAAAACTTTTTCTTAAAACTTTAGAAAAATCTAAATTGTTCTTATTATTATTAATTTATTTATCCCAATAATAATTACAATAATATTTTATATCACAAAAAAAAAACTTTAAAACAAAAAAGTTTCTTAAAGAATTATTTCTTTAATTAATAATATTTATTCAATTACTTAATTCAGAAAATAGAAAGGTATAAAATTATTCAATTTCACAAATGGATTTTCCTAAACTATAATAAAATTTTTAAAGTTAGAAGAATCTCAAAAAAACAAATATTTAAAATTATCTTTACAAAATATAAATTTTTGACTTATATCTTTTTAAAAAAGCAATGAATAATAAATTAATATAATTGAAATTTAAAAATCTACTTTATTCTATTCAAATTATATTTAATAGAAAAATTAGATAATAATTTTTATTTGATTGTACTTATAGTATTTGAAATAAGAAAAAATATTTGATTTTAAATATTATAAAATTTTTAGTAATAAAGATATAAGTAAAAATAAGATATAACAAATTAGATTCTTTACTTTCTCATTTATAAGAAAAGTTATTGATAATAAAATAAAAAAGTTTAAAAAAAAAGTGAAAAGATTTCTATATTATAAGAAAAAATTAGATAATAAAAATAAAAAATTAGAAAATAATATAAATATGTTAATTAATTAATTATTTTTTATTTTTATATATGTTAAAATAAAAGTTTAATTAATTAGGCTATATAATATAATTTTTATATTTTGTATCTAATTTGCTTAATTATCAAAAAGTATATTCAATTGTAATAATATAAATAGTTAAAAATATTAATAAAATTATAAGTAAAAAAAAAAATAATAAATAAAAGAGTTTTTAAAAAGCAAAAAAAAAAGAATTTTTAAAGAGTGAAAGAAAAAAAAGTTAAAAGAAAATAAGTTAAGAAGTTGAATAATAAAATAATTAAGAATAATAATTAAAGAAAAAAAAAATATTATTTAAAAATAATTATTAATAATAAAGATAACTATTTTTAAATTAAAATTTTTTTTAAAACAATATATAAATGTTATCTAAAAGGAAAAATTAATTATAAGTTTATTTAATCCAATATTTATTATAAGAAAAAAGAATAACTAAGACCATAAAGAAAAGTAAATAAAAAATTTATTTGAAAATATAAGTAACAAAAAGTAATGACAAAAAAAAATTAGTGAAAGTATTATTAACCAAATCAATATATATATATTTCAAAAGAAAAACAAATACTTATTCTAATATAAAAGAAGTAGTAAATTTATTAAAGCTTCTAATAATATTACTTAAATATTAATTTAATATTTAATTTTATTATAAATTTATATAAGTAAATTATAATTTATATATTAAATTTATTATGATCAATACCATTTCAATATCACTTTGATATTTGTTCAATATTTTTTAAAGCCTTAAACTTATTAATTACTATATCAATAATGCATATATAATATATAAATTAATATATATATTGTATATATTATTTATTTAAAAGTTTGATAAATAATTAATAAATATTTATATAAAGATTTCTAACTAAAATAGTAATATATAGACATGCTTGAAAAATTAATTGTATAAAATTAATTAATTAATATATCATATATTATATTATAGAATAAAATTATATGCTTGAAGATAAATTAAGATATTTATCAGATATATAAGTATTATTATTTTATAATATATTTATTATAGAATAAATTAAAAGAATCTTAAACTTTTTATATAATGTAATCCTATAATTTACTTTTTTGTTTTATATATTTATATAATAAATACTATATAGTTTTGAAAATAAGTACTTTATTTAATTATAATTATACTTATTTTCAGACATTACAATTTTGTATAATAGAATTATAGCAATCTTTTTCTAAATGTATTTCTTTTAAAATAAAAGTATAAGGATATATATTTAAAGGATAATACAAAAATATACATTTAAAAAATACATATAAAGTTTATATAATTATTATAATTTTATTTCATTAATTAAGATATTGGTTTAAGTTTGTTTATTATAACATATTGGTTTTTTTTTCTAATATATCTTTTAAAATTATTTATTAATTTATATATTTATTTGTATTTTCTTACTAAATTTAAAATACTTATATAGTTTTTAAACTTTTTAATACTCTATTAATATTAATAATTATTATTTCAATACTATTATTTGCTTCTTTTAAATTACTATTGCTTTCTTTATTTTGAATATATTTACAAATTTGTAATTATTTAATTGTTATTAGAATTTCATAAATAATATCTTTTTTAAATATTGACAAAAACTTGTTAACTTGTATTGACTCAAAAAAATAAAACTTTTTAAGGAGTTTGTAAAATTATTGAAAATAGTTTGTTTGTTAAAATAGAATAATTACAATATAAAAATTTTTTTATTTATTAAATATATGAGTTAACAGTATAATCAATATAATTTGTTATTATATAGTGATTCTTATAACTGAAAATAATAAAATCTTAAAAGTGCCAAATTTTATTGATATTAAACATTGTTTAATTATATAATATTTGATAATTTGAGTTATATATATATGTTTGAAAGATTATTTTCATATAATTGAAATTGTAAAATCCATTATACATGTAGAATATAGAGTATATATTTAGTATAAAGTTTCAAGATTGGAAATATCAAATAGAATACATTTAAAGAGAGTATATATTTAAGGAGAATGCATTTAGAAAAGTTTACTATATTTTAATCACATATATATAATTGATCATTATCATTTTATGGGAAAAGGAACTTATTTTCGGAGACAAAATTTTGGGAGGTTCTTATTTTCCGAGGGTTTTCGGAACTATATGGTACTGCGTGTAGTGATCACGTGATAATGACTTTTAGAGACTGAGACATTATGTCACGATCTTGATGGGTTTATCTGAAAAATAATGTATTGTTTTTTACCATACCCTCTAAACATGTCGTTAAATCTCTGCAAGTTCGTTCACGACAAAGGTATTTGTTCTAATTTTTTATAATCGATTTCACATCTATATTTATATACATATATTGGTAATACATAGTGCAAGAAAAGAAACTTCGCAAACTTGCAAAAAAGTGTGGTACAGGTGGGTAGCAGTTAAATTATTTTTTGTTGATGTTATACGTAAATCATTAATTGGTATTTTGTGTTAGCTCCTGAGAATCTCCCTACGATTCTTCAAAATCCAGATATTGTCACTCTTGTTCTCAAATATTTAAAAATCAAAGATACCGACGACGAAATGCCTGCACTTTTGTTCGATTGGAATCAGGCCGGCTTCAACGACACCAAAGTTACACATCATCGTAACGGTATCATGGGACAGACCCAAAGGGCTATAATCGCAAACATCCTTGCATACGGAGCAACCAATTTTATGAATCTGAACATACTATTCATTTTTCGAAATGGTCAAGCAATCGAGGCTTGGTACAGGAATATTGATGTGGATTTGTTTTGGTATGAGATAATTCTATATTTTATATTCTTTGGCATCAGTTTAATTCATTACCCTTTCTTAAAGGGCGAAACGTCAAGTCGGTGTTCCAGATATCTGTAACAACATCTTAAGATTAAATAGGATTACGGCCCACACAACCTATGTCGATATCGTGGATTTTTTGGTTATCTTAGGATAAAGAAAAAAGAGGAGTAAGTATTTGTTTTGTTACTTTTTCTAAATAATTATGGTTATTTATCCCTTCAAACTGACACAAAAGAATATCCGGTCTCCTTCATTGAATGAATCAATCCTCCTTGCAAGATTTTACGCTTTGTGAGCACTTTGTGTCCAATATAATAACATCGTGTGCATTTTGTGTACAAGTTGTGTGATCCCGATTTAAATGAAAAAATATTTGTGCTGTTGGCAAATTCGTGTTGTTAGCATTTTCGTGTAAATGCACTTACTTGGGCTCAAACTCGATATCTGATATCTAGGGTGCTTTACGTATTACTCGTAATCATGATTGCTTGCCTTTAAATCGACACCACGACCCAAGGCATTTTGAAATTTTTTTTCTTGGCCAAAGTGATCGGCGTTATAAATTGTAACGCACACGTGATTTTTAACTCGATAATTTAAATAAATCTGCACTTATATAAAGTTATTAACAAACATGCAGAGCTTGAATCTCAATCTGCTTAATCAAAAATCGATTCGTTGCAAGAATTAAATTCTCAACTCAGTGCCATGATTGCTGAGCTTAGAGGTCAAGGCCGAGAATACAAAAATTAAAACAAGCTATAGAAGCAAATACTGAACTCAAAACAAGATTCGAGGAGTTAGAAAAGAAAATAAAATGCTGAGCTCAGAGAAGAGTCACAAATTGGAACAGAAGCAGATACAAAATGATAGCGTACATGCATTATAAGATTCTATTCACTCGAAGCAACATCTGATATTTCTTCCAATATTTATACATACTGGTCCGAGCCTAAATCATCGGAAAATAAAGAGATCGATGGGTTTCTGGATTTAAAAGTAAGGAAAAAGTCAATAGCGAGATAAAACAACGCAATAGGGACAAGAAGCTTCGAGATCAATGTCTATCTTTGGTTAGCCATAAGAAAAAGGGAACAGATAAACTCTGGCAAGAATTATTCAATACTTCTTTAGAGCTGAGTTCGCAAGATCACTCTATATCAAAAAATATTAAATCAGGACAGATCGAATTTCTGAGACGGCCCGTCCCGAAAAATTCAAGGGCATGGATGGTTCTGCGAAGCGTATTGTTAATTAATTTGACATTAATGAGGTATCACAACATTTAGCTCAGTTGTGCGATACAGCCATAGGCGCAGAAGATCGAGCTTCGAAGGCTAATCAGGAAGAAATCATGTGCTGGTCTCTTTATGGTAGGGATTTTGAATTTCTAGTTGGTGAGATGAGTAGTAAAAATAAAATTGGCGAGAAAAAAGTAAGAACCTTGATTTATAATGAAATTGAAAATCAACTCTGTTTTCTTCGTAAAAAACAATCACAAGATTTGGGCTTACAAGTTACGAGAGACCTTGCGTAAAAAAACTAAAGAGCTATAAAAATTTATGTTATTTGAAAATATAGGTTTAGATAAAATTAAGCATATTAAGAACTATAGTGCAAATTCTATCTCGGAACTTACTAACAATCAAATTCAAGAAATTATTAATCGTGGTTTAGAGAGCTAAATCTTTAATTATTCTTTGCTTAAAATCATATCTGAAGTATCTTCTGAAAATAATATAATTGAAATTTCTAGGATGGCTTGTCTCAAAAAAGCTTTATTAGAAACCAAGATAAATGTACTGTCTGCATTATAATCCAAGAAAGAAGAAAAACAGATGTGGTTGTGAAATAGGTTTTTAATTCATTAAAGGATTTTTGTTAGTCATATTTCTATTGGTATGGTGTATCCTTGTGCAGAAGGGCAGTGAGTGGTAAAGTGATGACAGAAAAGCCTTGAAAAAATCTCCTATAATAGTTGGCAAGTCTCAAGAAAGATCTTAATTCAGATACATTGGTTGGTGCAGGTTATTCACAGATGGTATTTATTTTTCTTGAATCTATTAAAACTTTTTACAAAAATTATATAATCCACATATTTGACATTTTGTTAAATAAATTCATATATAGAAATTTTGGCATAAAGTTAGTATTCTCTTAAAGTTTATAAGACAGTGTGAACATGTTGCAAGTGTTTCTCCTTTATTTTATTATATATAAGTATATTATTCAAATATACAATCACAAATATATCAAGATAAGCATGAAAAATATTATTCATCAAGATTAAGAATATTGCAGATACATTGATAAAACTAAAATATAAAGCAAGAAATTTAAAATACCATAGTAAATTCTGAATATTGTTTTGAAATGTCTTTCTTTATAATATAAATATGATAAAATTTAAAATATAAATTAATTTTTTATGAAATATTTTGCTTTTACAAATCAATATATTAACTTATCAATCCTTGATAAAGAATATTAATTTTTTATAGTGATTTTGTTTAGTGCACAATAATCAATACACAATCTTATTGATTTTTTCTTTTTAAAAACAAAAAGAATTGAAACATCAAATAAAATTTAGAAAGTAGATAAATCTTTTTTTTAAAAACCAATTAACAAATTATTTTTTTTTAGTTTATTTATTTTTTAATAAGACAGATATAAACTAATTATAAAGGTAATTTAGATTCTAATATCAATTCAATAATATTAGTTCACTATTTGCTTGGATAGTAAAATATTTAACAATTTTGATGAAAAAATATTTTCAAAATTTTTAATTAAGGTTTTGACTTTGGTAATATAATAGATTTTTTTCTTAAATAATTTTTCAGTTACAATACAGATAGCAAATAATTTTTTAGATAGAAATAACTCTTGTAAATTGTTGTTATATCACAAAAATAGAATAATATTTAATAATAATTATATAAGTTTGGTATTAGCTTTGACATGAATAATATATAGTTTATAGTAAAAGATATATAATGTTTTTTTTCTAATTAATTGATAGTGTTGACATCTCTTTGATAAGTCTGTTACTTTTCTGAAGCACTTTCTCATATAATGTTAGGTAAGGTTTTGGCTTCTCTATTTGAAATATATGATTTGTTTAGCCAAGTTCTACTAATTCTTTTCTTCTTTTTTAATTGTTCACTTCCTTTAACCAGTCTTTATCACTTTTTTTTGTGGTTCTAGATGTTTTTTTCTTATGACAAGTATTGGATTAGATAAGTTAATTAGAATTTACTCAGTTTAACAATATTAATTATACATCCTAATTAAGAAGTTTAAATTAAGGAGCAATTTTTTTTGATATTATTATTATTGCTACTAGTACTAATATTATTATTACTTATTTTTTTTCTTTTTATATAATTATGATTATACATTTGGTCGTATTACCATAAAAGGAAATTTGATTAACAATATGATTCCAAATTAAATATGAATTCCAATTATTTACAATATTCTACTTAGTAGATCTATTATAATACAGTTTTTGAAAAATGGTTGAATTCAATTTCACCACATATATAATCATAATGTATCTCTCTAAACTACTATCATATCATACATTTCCCACTAAGCTATAATAAATTATTTGTAATTAATAAGTTAATTAAAGTTATAGTTAGTTTAAATTTCTAAAATTATATCATAGTTTTATATACTACTATAGACTATAGATAATTTGTTAATAAAAATTAGAACATACAATATACTGGAACATGTTTATGCAATTACACTCTACATTATTTTTTCATTAACAACAGATTAACATAATAAACAACTAATTTTTCTTCTATAAATAGATAGATATTATAGTTTTTCTAAAATTATATTATATTTATATATATATAATATTTAAATATTAGTTTTAATAATATAATATATTTTCAATTGTAATAATATAATATTAACAGTTTTATTAATTCCTTTTTCTATTTAATTACTAAAGAACAAATAAAAATTTAGTTTTTTTAATTGATAACTTTACTTATTGAACAGATTTTTTTTTATTAATAAAATTTTATAATACTTTTATAATAATATTAATGTTAAGCAATAATATAATTTAGAAAATTGCTAACTTATATTAAGTTATCAATTAATTTAAAACTATATTTTAAAAAAATTTGAATATTATTAATTATTAATTATTTTAATATTATTATATTTAAAATATAAGTAATCTTCATATATTATTATTTTTTTTTTTTTATAGTAGAATGGCATTAGATGCAAGGATTTTATTGAATAATTATCAATTACACATACATCA